GGTTGTAAGCCGCCCTGAGTCCCCTCAGGGAAAAGGGCGGCCTATAAATCCCAATAAACTCTTCAAACTCTAAACTCTTCATCATGAGAAGCACCATATAGATTTCCTGGGGATAACTTTCTCGAAGGGTAGGTGTAGCAAAATAGAGAAAGCCATTTCCTTGCAGATTTAAAATTTAATTTTAAAAGTGATAATTGGATTAGAACTCCCAACAGAATAATGGCAGAATGAATATACTTCCAATTATCAATACTTTTCTCCCCTATTTCCCTCCATCGCTCTGTCCCCTATTTCTCTCTTGACTGTTAGAAACATCAGTGAAGTGTAGCTCCTTCTAGCATTCTCTGAATTATTGCTTACTTATCTATCTATATTTTTCAAGAGAGAATAACACTTCATACATCAGAGAAAATCTATGCATGTGTGAATTACAATAAATCTATTGGTGTTTAATGTTCCACCCAATTATGTAAACTTTGCAGAACAGATTGTTTCAGTTGTCCCTTTTATTTTCCAAGAGCATCACTGTTAAAATAAATACATAAATAGAACATACCTCCCACATTACTGATAATGCCACCCAAGCTTAGTCTGCAGTCTAGTGACCATTGCAGCTTCAACACAGCAAATACTTTATATGCTAATGCTAATGTAATGTTGCAAGCAGATGAATCCTGACAGCTTAGATTGAAGAGTGAATATATCCTTTAAAAGTTTATTCTTTCCTTTGCCTTTTCTACATTTTGTCTATCTTTATGAAGATTAGGATCACTATAATATCTGCTTCAGTTAAGTTAATTAAGTTGAAATTTCAATTTTTTAGATTTTATTTTAGTTGGCTTTAATCTTATCTATCTCTAATTGTTACTTATTGTGCATTTTGGGGGAAGGGGGAAGGGGAAAAGTGGAAGGGAGGGGGAGGAGGAAGAGAGGAGAGAAATGTGTAACTTTGCGATTATTGTTCAAAGAGCCTTTGAAATTTTCTAAAAGGAGAAAAAAGCAAGAATTATTGCTCTAAGAATGATTGATGCTAGTATTGCTAGTACTAGTCTATGCTTTCTTAGACCATAAGAAAGGCTGACCACCAAAGAATTGAGGCCTTTGAATTATGGTGCTGGAGAAGACTCCTACAAGACCCTTGGACTGCAAGGCGATCAAACTGGCCTGTCCTAGAGAAGAGCAACCCTGACTGCTCTTTAGAAGGCCAGATCCTGAAGATGAAACTCAAATACTTTAGCCACCAAATCAGAAGGAAGGGCTCACTGGAGAAGAGCCTAATGCTGGGAAAGATTGAGGGCAAAAGAAGAAGGGTCCGACAGAGAATGAGATGGCTGGATGGAGTTACCGAAGCAGTAGGCCTGAGCTTAAATGGACTCCAGAGGATGGTAGAGGACAGGAAAGCCTGGAGGAACATTGTCCATGGAGTTGCGATGAGTTGGAAACAACTTTGCAACTAACAATAAGTCTATGCTGCTCTGGACAGACCACAACTGGAATACATAGTTCTAGTTACCACAATATAAAAAAGATGCTGAGGAACTAGAAAGAATGCAGAAAGAGACGGGGGAATAAGGGGCTTAGAGGCTACATCCTATGAAGGGCAGTTTAAGGAATCTGGTATGTTTAACTTAAAGAAAGGACATCATAGCAATACATGAAGGGATGTTACAGGAAAGAGGGAATAAATGTATTCCCCCTAGATCATTTTTACCTACAGGATAAGATAAAAACCAATGGGCAGAAGATTTACAGCAAGAGATCCAAATGAACTAAAGAGGAATTTCATGACTATGAGACTATTAAGTAGTGAACAGCTTGCTCCCTGAAGATGTGGGTGCTCCATCACTGGAGATCTTCAGGAAGAGACATCATTTGGGCAGCCATTTGTCTAGAATGGCTGAAGAATTCCTACACTGGGCAGGGTTTTGATATAGAAGACCTCTAAGATCCCTTCCACCTCTTTACTTCTATCTTGAGGCTGCTTGTTCAAATATCTGAAACAACTACTTTTGAGAGCTATACGTGCATTCCAGTTATTCAGATAATTACATGTAAGAATATCAAGAGCAAAAACAGTGGTGTGATAGTGTTACCCATTAGTGGAAAGTTGGGCCATGCCGCAGTAGTAATCAGCAACTTGATTTTGGCATAATAATAGGTAATGTTAAAATAGAGGCCAGGCGTAGAGAAAAGAAGATGTTCATACAATAAGCAGAACAGCATGGTGCACAAGGACCATGAAGCTGATCTCCCCAGACATACTCCATTATGTTCAGAGAGTGACATGCTGAAGCTCTGGCAGCCTGACAGCCTGTTATATACCCTGTGAAGCTGGGAATCTCCCCCATCTCAGGAAGAATTTTGATTGAATTCTGCCAGTCTAGGTGGGGAAACAAAATAATTTAGGCCCGGCACAACCTCCCATTGCATTGGTTTCTGGCATAAGGGTACCTGCCTAATAGTACTTTGAGATCTGACCCCTGAAGCAGAGTTTAACTCAGTTTTGTGCTGAATGTAGACTTTTGGAGTTCTAAATATAGAAAGGAACTCTTCTGCAAAGGTTATATTTAGCTCTGCTACATCAGCAGAGGAGATAATGTAAAGTGCCATACAGCGGATGACAGCATTGTACTGTTATTGACCATAGGAACAAATTAACAGTAGGGACATCGCCCTCGAGATGCCAATGCAAATTTAAAGTAACAACTCTCTAGTGTAAATCTACTCAATAGATTGAATTCAGAAAGCAATTCAATGGAAATTAAATGGTATTATATTGACTGAAAGTTAGTTAGTTTATAGAAAACAAGTTTTATAAGATTTGTAAAAGGCATGTTTATAAATGTCTTGCCTACATACATATGTCTAGACTTAAAAAGGAACACAGGGAACAAGAACTGGCCAGATTCCCTTCACTAATTATATTTTACCCTTTGAATATGAACTGACAATGATCTCTGTACTGATTTACACTAGCTGGGAGATGTTACTCAATTGCCTCAGGAATATGTCACACTGTCATTAGGTCAGTTAGTTCAGACAGTGCACATACAGAAGAACCGCCTGTGTGAAACAATGAATAAACAATTATGGGTTTTTTTTCAGTTGCTGAAATCATGGAAATTATATTAGTCATGGCGACAATGCGGACATCAAATTGGGAGGATCCCAGTTCATTAGCCTGATAAAGATGGTCAGTGGATGGCTTGACAATTATGTTATTTCGATATACATATGCTTGAGCAATGGTATCCAACTATTTCTGCTGAACCCTAGATCAGAGTTTCTCAATCTTGGAAACTTTAAAATGTGTAGATTTCAACTCTCAGAATATTGACTGGGGAATCCTGGGAGTTGAAGTCCACAGATCTTGAAGTTGCCAAGTGTTAGATCGGCAGTCGGAAGAAACGGAGGCGACTGAGGTAACTGTAACCATTTATTCAAGCAAGAACGTGTAACAACTGTAACAATAAGTAGACCGGCAAGTCTCCGATGTTTGACAGCCTTTTATACCCGGCTATCAACCTGTTTAACTAATAGCCTCGCGTATGACAGCCCGGCAACCGGCAGGTGCATCTGATTGGCTAAGATGCGCCTGGCGGCTGCCAAGCTGTCATTCATAAGTGTGAGGACTTACGAGGCTGCAACACCAAGGTTGAGAAACTTTGATCCAAATAGCTCCCGAGGTGGTATTCAACAGGTTCTGACCAGTTCTGGAGAACCAGTAGTGGAAATTTTGAATAGTTTGGAGAACTGGTAAATGCTACCTCTGACTGGCTCTGCCCCATCT